ATCGATCATTATGCAAATATTCGTTATCACTTATACTTTTATGACAAAAGTGACTATAGCGAAAAAAAAAACAGTAATTCAATAAGCAGATGGTGAGGACGTGATTTGGGCTCGGACTCTTCATCACTCACCCACACTCTCCCTTACTAAAAGTGATATTTGAGTGATAACAAGGTACCAGTAAGTTTGTATATTTAGGTATCATTGAGATTGTGTAAACTACTCTATATGCACTTCTGTTATTTGAAGAACTGGAAACTAAAGTAAATAACATGCTCGATCAATGTGTATTTGCATCATCCAATTTAAGATCAACTTAATGTATCGATTGATTATCATCATTGCAGTCAGGGATAACATTTTTAGAATGAATATTCGAAACGACTTCAAGCGTTAATTATGTTTTACTCTAAGACTTAAAAAAGATTTTATCATTATATCCATGCTTTGAGCGAATGCGCAATACCGTGATTATTTTATCGTGTAATACTCTGGAGACTGCAAAAATTTTTCAATATTGAGAACTCTATCAATGGTTTGTAAGATGCTACACTGTATATATGAGAGAAAATATTAATGTTTTCCGTAAACTCATGGCTTTGTTCGAAGAGAAGACCTGTTATTAGCTCTTGATGAGGGATGTATCATTATTTCAAAAAACGTTGTGAACAAATTGTGGATATTTTTTGAAATCAATATTTCGATAACTAATTACTGACATTCGCGATTTTGATGGTACGGATATGAATAGGTACAGCTGCGACGGAAGCTACAAGTGGGCGAATCATTTCTAAACACACATACATCCTAATGTCAGCTTTCTAAAACTTGTCCTTTTCTGAGTATTACTTTAGCTTTCTTGTCAAATGTGTCATCATTATATAAATATCCTTGTACAAAAAAAAAATAGTTATATCGAGAATACTTGAAGTTTTGAATCGTAATTATTTCGAACGATATGCTTTGAAGATTTTTTTATAATCCTCAATCGTCGTGTATTAATGACATGGAAATTATATTCCGTCAGGCTAATTTGGATACGGTCTATTGTTTAATATTTCACACAAATCAGTAGTACAAGACACATTATTGCGAACGGTTCAAATATTTATACGCAGGGCGTAGTTGAACTAATGTTTACAAATCGAAAAACACTTGTCTTGATGGTGATCTCCGATATTTTGAAAAACATTGATGAATCGATGCAAAATTCTATATTGTTGAAAGTAGACAGTTTTCGTTTCGTCTCGAGTAGTCCAATATCGATAAGATCATTTCAAAGTAGTCCTTTCTCAATCATTGTTCGAGACCGGCATGTTCTTATAAGACGGCTAATTTTCGTGATAGTCTGCAACAATATAACTGGTGACACATAAATGCGACATCTTTTATTTTAGTCTGCACTATTTATTATTAAATTGACGATATACTTCAGTTTATAGTTGGAATACTGTCAGCGTCTGATAAGGTTTGGTGCCAGCTGTAGATCAGTGGATGTAGGATGAATACGTTGACGTCTAAGGCGAAGACGGCTAAGAACAATAACCCGCTTCACTTGTTTGTTCATTGCAAAGAAAAACACCATCTTAAGAGTGTTGAAAACACTATTGTATCCATACTCATCAAATACAATTCTTCCAATAGTGAAATATTTGTTGCAATGATATGCCAAAAAAACAAACATCACATATATTACTCCACCAAAGGCAAAATTCCTAACTAATCATACCATATTTCGTGCCAGTTTCATTTCACGTTTTGCGTTTGGTATATAAGAAACCGTCGTGTCGAATGCCATACTCAACACTTTTTGAGTTGATTTATGTCCACGATAAAATTTTTTACCATAAACAAAGATAGCAATGTTAAGTGGCATGAAAATTACAACTACTGTGATATACATATATGAAGCAAAAACTCTACTTTTGGCTACACAAATACGCGATTTCTCTTCGAATTCCAAGCCACTATTAATGAAGGAAGGTTTAATTGCTAGTATAATAATAATCCAATTTAGAGCAATCGTACACCAATGTATACGAAATATGAGAAGAAATTTGTATTTGTGCAGCACAATAAAAAAGACACGACTCACAGCTTGTAAAACATAGGAATAGCAAATGCCAACAGATGACATAGTACCCCTAACAGCTCTTAAGAAGCTGTGCGGCTGATTTTCTGCTCAATCTGCACAAAATCGTACAACACTCCAAGTAGATTGTTCAGTGGAAAGTTAGCAATCATTACACTTGTATTACATGTCAGTAGATTTGTAACTGTGCGGCATGGTCGATGTGCAGCAATAATAATGTAAAAACGATAATAAAAAGTAGTTGGCTAGGCATATTTCTAAATATAATGGTTTTCTGTAAAATATGAATGTATGTTTCTTAAACTCTTCAGACTCTTGAATGAAGAAAAATATTCAACAAGTTCATATGCCGTTTTCTTTCTCTTGCCATCAACATGTTTGTTTTTCATGTATGCATTCTTTACTGTTAATAAAATATGACAATATCTGTAACAGTGAAGAGTGACAATTCGTCATATCAGATAGGAGAATTTAGTCATGCATTTGAAATTTCATGAGCTATTCATGAAGGCTTCTCCAATGCTTTTTTTGCCTGTTCTTGATTACTTTTCGAGATTTCTTAATGGTAATTTGATTCGAAAAAAAGAGAACGAATGTTTTAAGCCTCAACCGTAGAAAACAATCATAAGGATATTTTTTGTGTCCTTGTTTGAAGAATCTATATTTTTGAAAGAAAATATCCATCTGAAGATTCTTATCAAAGATATGTGAGAATATTCGTTGATATCAGATCGAAATAGGCAATATCGAAAAAATTTGAATGCATTCCTCATTTTTTAGCTCATGTCATTGTGGTTGTCGTGACATATCACATCAAACTACAGAAGGCGTCTGAAGTTGATCTCTTATTAAGAAAGCGATGGCTTTCATACCGAACACCAATCAATAGTTAAATATTTATCGTAGTAATTTCCAGTAATTTAATAATGAAATTTTACATAAAATTCATCTATATACGAGTCTAACTAACTGAGAAAAAAGTTCTGAACAATATCAGTATAATTTTGGTTCGCATCTATGTCTGGATCAGACGATAAATTTTCTCTTGTAACATTACCGTTTAAAAATTGTTAAACAAGAAAAAATGAAAATTTATCATAACCAATAAATCATTATATTTAATAATGAACAGAGAAAACTCAAGTCTATCTCACTACTGATCAATTCAGTAAATTTGATGCAAAGATAACTTTCAACATGGATGAACCAGATACTAAAGCCTATAGTATCTCAGGTTATAAAACCAAGAACGAATCGGCCAATCGAATTCCATTAGTATTCAACTATCAACAGCGGTAGGAATTGCCATCGTTGATTTTCGATAAAATCCTCATAGGTTTCCACCCACGTGTTTGTACCTTTAATAAACCTTGTATGCTAAGGAAAGAGTCATCATTCGAGTTGTATTGGGTTTTAGCTACAAACATGTATGGAATCTGATTGTTGAAATAATAAAAGCAGAATATCTTATAAATATTGATCAAAGATTTTCGACTCGAAAAATTGATAGTATGCTTGTTCTTTGTTTTGAATAAGTTTCCATGACAAAACAAATGAGTTTTGAACATTTCTCAGAACGTGGTCAATTTCTATTTCTTAATTACAAATACCTTTGACACTGATTTAATGATTTATTTACAAGTTGGATATGAAATGTTGCGTTTGATTAGTGTTCATTATTCATTTAAACAGAACTTATTTCAATGCAGTTCGTACCCTGAAAACAACCAAAGTACGTTTACTCATGACATTCCGAGCTGAAACACATACACTAATGGTCCCTGTCGGATTTATTTTAAACTCAACCCATGTAAAAATGTATGCAAAATTTAACGATTTAACGAAATTTAATGTTACCTTTCTGTCCTTGAAAACGCGTTAAAATAATATTAACGTAGAGAAACGAGTGAAAATTCGTTAAATTCATATTTTAACGCGTTTTCAAGGACAGAAAGGTAACATTAAATTTCGTTAAATCGTTAAATTTTGAATATATTTTTACATGGGAACATGAAAAAATCTTTTTAAGAGTGTGAATGTCGGTTTCGGTGTTCGTTTTCTCCTTAACTCCACCCATACCTGATAAATCCCGTTGATCATCTCCTCTTGAGCTATCTCAGAGATTATTGAGTCACTTTTTGATCTATGTCAAAGAAGGGTGTTGACACTATCTCCTATCGATCGAACGACGATGAAACGTCTCAATAAATGAATATTTTCCTTATCTCTGCTTTGTCTCTTTGTGCTGGAAAAGTAACTAGCAAAATGATAGTTGGATCCCAATTGACAAATCTCAATTTTGTACGATATAATTTACGATACGAAAGGAATCGTATAATGAGTCTACTCACACAGGCCCATAAAAAGAAATGAAATTTTAAAATATTCTATAAAAATATCTTAATATCTTTTACTTTTTAAATTTTCTCTTTAATTTCGTAGGTAAATCTTCGATTTTCCATACTAAATCAGCTCTGTTTGCAGTTCTTTCATTTATTAAGTAAATTCATTCATTCATATCTCCGTTATTAAATCATCTTCTCTTATTTTTTTTTTTCATAATTTATTCATTCATTGTTGTTATTGATTTATTCGATTACTTATTCATTCAAATTTTACATTAAAACTATAATAAACAAAAAAACATTAAAGAATTAAAATTACATAAAAATTTATAAAACACATTTGTTTATTATTCATTATTTTTTTGTTTTATAATTCTCATGAATTTTATATTCATTGTTGATTTGTTCTATTTATTTAACTATACTCACACCTTTTGATGTATACGCCTGGATAGTGAGAAAGAAAAACAAAACTTCGCGAAGAACTCAATAAATACTATGTTTTGCATCATATTAATAATCTGAAAAAAAAAGTATTCACTACTAAACACGTGTATTGATATTTACGATGAGGGATATGTTGTAGTGCCAGTTTTTGAATAAGTTTTTAGATTAACTCTTCGCATTTTCTCTTCATCAGTAAATAATTGACTGAATTCATCAAGTTGCAATTTGAATGATGTTTGTAATTCTTCTGGTAAAAAACATAATGCACAATTTAAAGAACGTATTTTTGCAGGACGTTCATCCAAAGACGTATCAAGGAGTTTTTCTATAGCCAGACTAAAATTTTGCCGAACTTTTCGCAATACAGTCATACGAATTTGATGATATCTTGTCCCACCACGTGATTCAACCAACTCTAATTTCTTTAAAAGGTCTTTAGGTGAATGAAACGAATAATCTTCGACATCTAAAGAGTCATAACGACTTGATATAGTACTAACTATATTATCGAACTTTTTTCTTAGTTCTTCACTTTTCTTATAAACAGAATCCGATGTGCAAATGTCGGCTAATTCTCGTTGTGCACAACTAAGATTATCCATGATTTTCTCAGCTTGACAAAAACTATCAGCATCTATACAAATTTCAATGGAACGAAGTCCTCTTAAAATAATTTCAGACAAAATTTCATTCATGTCATTATCAAAGCTGGAAAGGATCGTTCGAGTTTCATTGTCAAGTAACACCATTAAATTGTGTTTGTTGAAAGCAGTTCGAATTTTTTCGACATTTTCCTTAAGTTCTCTTATTTGAGTCCTACTACTTTGTTCGCTCTCGATTGTTCTATCTAGCCAAATTGCAATGCTTTTAGTTTCTTTCATCAACTTTTGTAAAGAACTTTCTAAGTTATACTTAATCTGAGCTAAATCTCTGGGAGTGAAATGATTTTCATCCATATCGTGTAGCAATATGTCTGCATTTCCATAGTCTCCTTTAGATATGTAGCTTAACACAAGCTCATAAACTGCTCTGCATTCCTTGGTTATCTCCACTCGATATTTTCCGTAGAGAGTTCTAAATCCATGATCTGAAAATATAATTTCACAGAAACGATCTAAACAGCTCAATACTTGTGCAATAATTAATTGATTTTTTAAGTCTTTGTTTTGGTCAAAAATTTTATATTCTTCTAATTTATAACTTAAATTATGATAATAATCAAGAAATTCTTGATGCCAATATTCTACTTTCTCAACTCCATTTATACATTTAAAAACATATGTAAATTTGCTAAGAGAAGATAATTCTTGTAAGTACATTTTTAAATCATGAGTATACTGAAAAAGATCTTCTTGAACATCAATACAAGTAATCGTATGATTGAACTTGCAACGTATTTTCTGATGAAGAAAATTACCATATTCACTTATATAGGTTTTTAAGATTTCATGAGCATCAGCTGCATTTTCTTTCACACGAACGTGATCTACTTTTTCGCATTGCTCTATATAAACTAATGCATTATTCGCTGCTGATGCATCTAGCCTATCGTCAAAATAATATGTTTGTTTATTTTTCAAGCATTCATCGAAAATTTTCTTTTTCTCTTGAATGGTTTTATCAAGTTCTATAGAACTCTCTTGTCCTTTTTCTCTTAGAAAATTCACTTCTGTAGAAGAAACAGAATCATGCGAAGCTAATAATGAGTTATATTCACCTCGTATTGATTCGAGGTGAATTAGAAAACTGCTCAGTTCTGCGAACTTAGCACCAATCAGCTGCACTCTTGCGATATGAGCTTTTTCGAACTCTTCTCTAGCGTTGTATACGGCATTAATGGTTGAATATCCTTCTTTTCTCAAATAATCATTTGCCTCTGTATTATTCTGCAATGTTGCTCTTGTTCGGTGCACTACTTTTTCAATCATGCTACTTTGATCTGCCTTGAAAGAAATTAAATCCGCATATTTTTGAAGAACTAAATTCAATTTACTTTGTCGATTTTTTTCCTCGCATGTTTCAGTTTCTACGGCCATGATTTCTACATTTTTCTGAGATTTGAGATCTTCAATTTCGTGATTCAATACATCTATATTTAAGTATCCTTGTTTTCGTAAATACATGCGGGCCGGATGCAAATTCTCGTACTCCCTTTTTATTTCTTCAAGTTCGTTCAACTCCTCTTTAATATGAGATACAGTCCTATTTTGCAAATTGAAAGTCTTTTTGATATGATCAAAAACTGTCTGTGTAGATTGAAGAAACCGTTGGAATATATTAACTCTGTATCTTTCGAGTTCTGGAACACTACGTTCCAAAATACTCATAGATTGAATTTTTTCAAGAATTTCTTGTGCTACACAAATATGATCAGGATAGTTAAAACTAAGATTCAAGTTCATCAAACGAACTTCTAACTGGTGGGCACGATGCACCAACTCGTCCGTTATGTCACTCATTAAATTATCAGAAACACTTGGACTAACACGGTTGATCCATTCCGCTTTTTTTAAACGAGTCAATGATCGAGCGAGATTTCTATAATTAGGGACTCTTGAATGATGATCGATAGCAAAAAGCAATTCCTCTGTCTCTCTCTGTAATCTTTTTATATATCCACTTATATTTTCAACAATACGATAATAGCTTTGAGCAGTCTTGAATTGAAATTCTGGTATCGTACGAATAGCTTCCATATCAAGAATGAATTTTTCTATATATTCTAGAGAATGACTTCCATTTCTTTCAAAAATCTCTCTAATTCGTTCGTTAATCTCATCAAAATACTTAACAAATTTCGAAATGAATTGATTATAAATTTCATTGAAATATGTGCAATTTTTTTCGTAAACATAGCTTGTAGTTTGTTGTGATGAAACATCAAGTTTCTTTTTCTGCATTTTTGCATATGTAGAAATATGCTCTTGAAGTGCAGCATTTTCTCTAGCTGCTCTCAATATTTCCATGTAATTTTTAAGAACTGTTACATCATTATCATTCAGTCGAATCTTTGCTAAAAGAAACTCGGCTTTTTCAGAAAAACTACTTAAATGCTTTAAGAGTAATTTGACGATATCGTCATAGTTTTCTTTAATTCGTTCATCTAAATGTTTTTTTAGAACCAATGAACATTGCAATACGGTATGAAGAATTTCAGCAATATATCTGAATTCATTAGCTAAAATGGGTTCTCGTGCAGCATGGGTCAATTTTTTTAAACGCTCTGCAAAATCCTCACAACTTTTACTATAATGTAACTCGAATTCTTCAAACGAATTTTTGAGCATATAAAGATTATCAAAATATATTCCAACCAGGGGACTATGCAAATCTTCTTGTAACAGAGTTTGACTTATTTTCTTTAGTTCGAACTCGATGTTTTGAATGAATATTTCATGTGAGATTAGATGAGATCCTAAATGATCTTTTAATATTTGAATCTTTTGAATATATTCAAAGGAATTTTTGTAGTCACGAATGTCTTCTTTTCTTAATCCATCTTTACTGACTAAAGCATCATTGAAATTTTTCATTACTTCTGTACCAAACTCATTAATGCTTGTCCTTACAAATCTTATAGAATCTTCATAAGCATCTTGAATGAAGCTTTGTTTAATTAAATCTTTTAATATCTTTAAATTATTCAAATAATACATTAAAAGATCATTATTTCTATGTTTTAATGCACACCGAATATTCGACTTATCTCTTTCTATCTGATTTGTGATAGTTAATTCTGTTTCTTTACTTATCGAAAATCGAAAAACTTCTCCTGGATACGCAATACCATGAATATGCTTAAATTTTTTAATTAATTCTTTCGGATCACCATCAATAGGATCTATTTTTAGAGCAGCACCATTTACAGTTTTCTCAATCATGTCCAATAGTACTGTCATCAATACACTATCAGATTCTGAGAAAGCATCCATTATTGAACTTTTAAAATCTACTAACAAAGCATTAATATCTGTCATCACAGGACATTTTGTAAATCCATAACAAATACTATCTAGTCTATGTTCTATTCCATCCACCATATCGATTAACGTACGTATCAATTTAAGAATACCACGTTCTCGATCAACTAAGCTGTCATAGCTTGATAAAGCTAGTATCTTAATACTTCTGCATTCTTTGAGAGCTTCAATAACTGCTACACCATTTACAATATCTACTTCGGGAATTTCTGAATTACTAAAATCTGGTGCATTGCATAAAATAATTTCTCCTGTCTCATAATGACCAAAAATTTCTTTTAATTGTATTGTGATCGGTGCAATATGTCGAGTTTCGAACTTTCTCAACGAATGACTAGTCACGATAGTCGATCCAGAATTCTTAACTGACTCCATGGTTGTTAAAGGTTCTAAACACTGCGGATCGTCAAATTTTAATCGTCTTTCTTCCATCTTTTCACCTGCAAGATATTGAATAGTATTCACTTTCCCAACTTCAGTAGCACCTACTAACAAAATAATTTCTTTATCTCTGATTAATGCAGCTGCTTTTTTCGTTTTTTCTCTAAGTCGTTGTATCTCCTGTACATTTAAAGGCCTGATTCTCTTCAACAGCTTATTGAGAACGTTCACTATAGATAAACAATCGTTTCTATGAACAGCTTTATTTAGATCCTGAAGATAGACTTGAATTTCTTCCGAAAATAATTCTTGCCTTTTAATCTGATCCTGCAACTCAAATAACTTTCGTCTTACTAAACTTTCTTCTTTGCAAGATATAAAGTCTCCCAGTAATCTTTGTTCAAAATGCTCCAAAAGTTCCACAATAGTTTTTTCAGTACAAGACGGCATGATAGCCAAATCGCCATAGAAATTTTTAATATCCATTCGTTTTTTCTCTTCATTAAGAGTCTTTATACCACAATATCCTGAATATTTTTCGGCGGTCCACTTCTGATTCAAATCGTTATCATTCTTAGACAAGCACGAGACATGTTTCAGATGGCATATGTTCTCCACAAGTCCTTGTAAATCTTTACATTCTCTCAAATACTCCATTTCTTTTTCAGCCTCTTTTTCATATTCATTGATTCGTTCTTCTGTTTGCCGTATGTTTTCTTGTAACAAGGTTACATCTTCGATGTTCAATTTCGCTAAACCACTAACCAATATCTGTTCTAGTTCGCGTACTTTTACAAAATTACCTTCTTTGAGAATTGATGAGTTCGATGTCAGAATACTTTGATCTTGTCGACGTAATTGATACATTTCCGAATCAACGGCTTTGGAACGGTTGATGAAATCGGCTGCTATAAAATTAGTGCTCAATAGAGAAGAAGTTTGCACTACTTGTTTAATCGGAATAGTTTTACAATGCTTTTGCCTCTTAAAGATGATCCAGATGCAGTTGAGCAAGTTGGTTTTATAATTTGTCTCTAATGACGTTAAATTTGTTCGCTCGATCAACCTATTCTGCTCGTTTATTTTGTTTGTCGGCTTGAAATTCGACTAAAACTTCAAATTAATATAAATTTGCCAAATAATCTAGGAGAAGCGTAAGCCGTTTCGCAACATATGCTTTGCATGCAAATTACAATGTTCGTTTCAATTAATATTCTACAATAACAGCTAATCAATAAACTATTAAGCCTTGCAACCGTTTAAGAAACCGTCGACATGAATTATCTAATCGAGGTGCTAATTTGTTAAATCTTCTGAATACTTCACTTCTTAAGATACCAAGTTCCTTTCACTACGAGTATTGTACTTTGTCGTTTGCCGATTTGAATACACGAAATAAAATGCTTCCGAAACACACCTAAAAAAATATGACAAATGTAAAATATATTTCTGACTTACATATTTAATTAATTTGTAGCCCTTTGGCTTTTCGATACACAGGAGACATGAATGGTTTATTCCATATGTTATTTACGTATGCTTCCTGAAAACATGATGCAAAGCAAATTGTTCACATGTCTTACGCATGCATTCGAACTACGCAAAGAAAAATAATAGAAAGAAACAAATAACACGACCCAATGGAGAAGAAAAACGACAGGGGAAAGGAGACGCATGGTATGATTAACCTGAAGAGGTCAGGTCTTAACAGCATCGTTTTCATCTATGAAAAATGCTTGAAAATTTCTAAATTTTACCATATTCATAGGAAACACTTTGACACCTACTCACAACGTATTGTACATTTATCATTCCTTATCTCAACTTTTCCCTCGCTTTGTTTCATATAAAAAAAACAAGGTGTGAGATTTTTTCCAGAAGAACATCGTCAAGCATTGCTCTTAAGTTCAGGTATTTGCGAACAATTTGAAATGAAACATTTCCAATGATGCCCATTAGCACATAAGATGTATGTGAGTGTCGGTGTGAGAATGACATGGAAAAAAACTACCCACACACATCACACACTTTTTGTTTTCTGTTCCGAACCAATATCTAGTTGTAAACATCTACAAGAATATCTACTTAATATAAGTAAAAAAGTAATCGAAAAAAACAACTGATTTTAAAATGTACTTATTTCATCTTGAACCGTTAACAGATGTAAATGTATACATATCATTCTTATACACATTCATCCACTGTTGATCATCACTGACAGAAGAGAATCGAATCGAAATGGGGGTGGGGATGAGTATGGCTACTGGTATGGGTGTGAGTGTTCAGTTCAACCACTCCAAGACCCACATCCACATCCTTACAATATTTCCTATTGTTCACAAATTACGCAAGTTGTCGTCATTCCGACTTTCTTTTTTGAAACACGCATTGGAAATCAGAAAATATTCAATGAAGTGTTTGAAAAATCTATATAAATACAATTATGTTATTTTTAGGGTTTCAAATATCAAATCTTTATTCATTGATTCATATTATATAAAAAAATCAAATGTAAAATTTGAAATTGAAGTTTCTTTTTTTATAAACAATTAGAAATTCAATTAAATGTACGTAATATATGTATTTTGTATTTATATAATCAACCATTCTGATAACTTTCGAACCAACAATTAATTTTTTAATCATTAACTGACACTTGTAAAAGATAAGAGCTTACTATAAATTTAATCGACTTTTGTGAAACGCACACTAAGTTTTTTTGAAGAAAAATATAGTGAATATAAGTTTTAAGTCAAATTTTTGTGACTTCCTCTCATCCATCAAAGCGACCAAGGGCAACAGACGCCAGATTCCTTTTTTTTACAGAGTTCTCTATCAACGAAAAAAGGCACTGAACGGTATTGGGTAGATAAAGCTTTTATTTAAGGCACCAAGGATGATGAATAGTCTTGCATTGCTTTGCCAAAGTCGCCAAATGATCAAGTTATAACTTTGAGCAATAACTAATATTAATATGTTTCTGATCTTATCGATAAATATATATAAGTGTGTTGAGACCTGTTGTAGATATAATGGTCATCTATAACAGATTGTTTGTCAGTTAAATCAATAGTTAGAACAATAATAATATTAAATTAAGAAGAACGGAATACACAAATGAACACCCGAACTTTACTAAGAAAGATCAATCAGAGGAAACCTTTGCTAAACTTTGTTTTTTTTTCAGGCACTTCTAATTTATCACATGTTAATTAATAAAGATTATGTTGATAAAATTGAAAAAGAATTCTCAAATCCTGCTTCTCAAATTTTATCTATACCACCTGTTATTTCATTAGCTCAACTATCATCATTTACGGTGACAACTATTTCTGAACCATAATTTCAATTAGTCTATTTTAAACCATTTATTTTTCAATCATTAAGTTCTCTGCGTAAAATTAATTCACATATAGCACTTTGTCGACGTCATCATACATCTTAACACTCATACATATTTTCCACTCAGTTGAACAAGCAATTAATGAAATTTTTCAAACTATTCAACGCTTCAATCTGAAAACGAAATTACAACATCAAATATAGAATTAGATTGTTGAATTTTAGAGCGAATAGCAATAAGTTATGTAATATAATTGATTGATCAGCGTTTATTAAGTGATATTAATGAAGAAAGATTACCGGAACTAATACATTTACATTATGAACCATTTTCACCATATCACTTAGCTATTTAAGAAAATTTAGTTCATCTATCCCAGGTTTAAACCGCATTATAGTGAGCAATGTATTTAGTAAATCGTTTTAACGAAGAGATCTACTGAAATGTCTCATTGATATGTCAACAGCTTCTTGCCTACACCTACTAAATGGTATTCTAATGAAAGTCCTAAAAGTATTTGAGTTCCCATTGAAACGTAACCAAACTACTGAATATTGAATATGTCTCTTTGTCAGTGAATCCCTGTACATGATCTGAGGTTTTCGAAAATTCGTTTTTTTTTGTTTTGAAACTATTTCAAATTGAAGGTCCCATATATATTCATCTATATGAAAAGTTTTCAAGTTTCTAAACTAACAGTCTTCGGGATATAAACTTTTCAAAATATTTTTATATTACTTACTATGCTTCGAAAAGCGTGTAGTTTTGAAAATCTTCGAATTTGAAAATACAATGTTTATAAACTCTAAAATTCTTCATACAAACTACTCTATATGGTGTCTTTAAATGGAGATAGGAAAGGTATATCTACGGAGGTTACCTTGTCAGTCAGTATTGCATATATTCGATACTTTATTTGATTTATCAGAGAAAATAAATTAAAATGATTCCAGAACTTTTTAGTTCATAAATAAACTTATGTGTTTCTTTTTTCAGTCATTTGTAAAAATATATCATAAATTTTACTATCAAGGTTATGCCTGTCACAATAAGTAATGAACCATTACTAAGATGTCTTTTATGGTCCATGCGGCACAAAATCTTTTATCATAGTTAAACATTCCTATTAATTCGTCTTTCACATTTTCTTTTTCTTGGATAAATACTTTTTAATAAATTGAATTTTTTTGATCAAAGCATTTTAAAACAAGATCTTCATTCAATAAAGGTAAAAGCTTATCTTGAACACATTTAATGATTTCATTTAATTTGTTCTTGATTTTCGAGTCGTTAAAGACGAACAATTTTTAATAAAATATGATTATTCAAATCTTGTGGTTTATATTTATATGAAAAAATAAAGAACAAAACTTAGCAGAATATTGTTTATTTACTTGGAAATTCATTGGTTCTTGATATTGTTAATCTTTCGTTGATGAATTGCTTATTGTTCCTTCTTCAGTTGTTATTAGAAATGAAGATGACAAAAGCTTCATGGTAGTGACTCATATCTGTGTGTGATCAAGAATAACCTACGATGCACAAGTAATTGTGGAAATGTCAAACTGTGTTAGACCGCATTGCTAAATTCAAAATCAACGGAAGTTTTTTTTTTGTTGGAAAGAGTAATGTCTGAACTACAAATTTCGTA